ATCTGACTTTTTCAAAATGGTTTTGTGTTTTTTTATACAGTGTATGTAAACTTCTGGTTTCAACTGTATTTAAGCCTTTAAATGTCACTTTAAGCTGTAAAGAAGTGGCTTGAAAATATCTTGTCAAATATTATGTGGCTGTCATCATGGCAAAGATAAAAGAAATCAATTAGAGATTAGTTATTAAAACCATTCTTCTCAGAAATATGTTAAAAAAAATCGTCTCTCTCAAATATAGACAGCGCCCTCTAGTGGATTTGTGACCTGAATTGTCCAACCAAACGTATCCGAAGTAACATATTTTATGATGTTTTGCAAAAATGTAAGGAGAGAAACATTTTTTCAGTGAACCTGGGCTGTTTTTTTTTTCTTGTTAAGAAATGCTACAGCACACTGTATTGTTATTAATTATAGTGAACAAATAAACTATAATGAATACTGTTGTATACTATAGTTTTTAATACAGTAAGTTATGTTGTATTGTTGTATAATATACCCTATAATTGTAGAAAACAACAGTATTGGGTGATTTTTTTATATTACTGTAGTTACTGTTACCATAGCAACAATAGAATTACCACACAGATCAATTACTATAGTTTTGTTGTGTTACCATAGCAACAATAGAATTACCACAGCAGATCAATTACTATAGTTTTATTGTGTTACCATAGCAACAATAGAATTTCCACAGCAGATCAATTACTATAGTTTTGTTGTGCCACCATAGCAACTATAGAATTACTACCACATATCAATGACTATAGTTATTGTGTTGCCATAGCAACTATAGAAAAACTACCACAGATCAATTACTATTGTTGTTGTGCTACCATAGCAACTGTAGAATTACTACCACAGATCAATTACTATAATTTGTTACCATAGCAACTGTATAATTACTACCGCAGATCAATTACTATAGTTTATTACCATAGCAACTAGAATTTCTACCACATATCAATGACTATAGTTGTTGTGTTACCTTAGAAACGGTAGAATTACTTCCACAGATCAATTGCTATGGTTGTTGTGTTACCATATCAACTATTGCATTACTATCGCAGATCAATTACTAGTTTTGTTGTGTTACCATAGCAACTATAAAATTACTACCGCAGATCAATTACTATAGTTTTGTTGTGTTACCATAGCAACTGTAGAATTACTATCACATATCAATGACTAAAGTTGTTGTGTTACCATTGAAACGGTAGAATTACTACCACAGATCAATTGCTATAGTTGTTACTATAGCAACTATAGAATTACTGTCACAGATCAATTACTATAGTTTTGTTGTGTTACCATAGCAACTATAGAATTACCACTAAAGATCAATTACTATAGTTTTGTTGTGTTACCATAGCAACTATAGAATTACGACCATATATCAATTACTATAGTTGTTGTTACCATAGCAACAGTAGAATTACTAACACAGATCATTTACTATATTTGTTGTGTTACCATAGCAACTCTAGAATTACTACCACAGATCAATTACTAAAGTTTTGTTGTGTTACCATAATAACAATAGAATCACTAACACTGATCAATTTTTATAGTTATTGTGTTACCATAGCAACTATAGAATCACTATTATAGATCAATTACTATAGTTTTTGTGTTACCATAGCAACTATAGAATCACTATCACAGATCAATTGCTATAGTTGGTGTCACCATAGCAACTATAAAAGTACTACCACAGATCTATTACTATTTGTTGTTACCATAGCAACTACATAATTACTACCACAGATCAATTACTATAGTTGTTGTTGTTTTTCAATAGCAACAGTAGAATTACTAACACAGATCAATTGCTATAGTTGTTGTGTTACCATAGCAACTATAGAACCACTAACAAAGATCAAATGCTATATTTATTGTGTTACTATAGCAGCAGTAGAATTATTACCACAGATCAATTGCTATACTTGTGTTGTCATAGCAACTATAAAATTACTAACAGATTGATTGCTATGGTTGTTGTTTACCATACCAACAGTAGAATTACTAACATCTGCTATATTTGTTGTGTTACCATAGCAACTATAGAATCACAACAAAAGATTAATTTTAGATATAATATTGTTTGATTATTATTATTATTATCATCATCATCATCATTATTATTATTATTATTATTATCATTATCATTAAATATTATCATTATCATCATTATTATTATTATCATTATTATTATCGTTATTATCATTATCATTATTATTATTATTATTATTATTATTATTATTATTATTATCGTTATTATCATTATCATCATTATTATTATTATTATTATTATTATTATTATCATCATTATTATTATCATTTTTATTATCGTTATTATCATTATCATCATCATTATTATTATTATTATTATTATTATTATTATTATTATTATTATCATTATTATTATCGTTATTATCATTATCATCATCATCATTATTATTATTATTATCATTATTATTATTATTATTAGATTATTCTACATTAATTCTATATTCTTTTTCATGTAGGCATTTTTATAGCAATTAAACTGTTAATGTGAGAAATATAATAATGTTTGCTTCAACTGTCTGTGTCTGTCTCTCTGTAAGTAATACAGAACCATACATGCAGTATCAATAATTTACCAAATAAACAGTAGTATGTCCATGTTAGAGTGTTAACGTTTGACATTAATCATTTAGTCCACTATAAATCATGTCTGACAGGAACATCCATACAGTGTGTGTCGGGATGCTGCCGCCACATGACTTTGTCCCCAGTATACAGTGAAGGTCATTGTGTTCGGGCTGTTTGTCTCTGTCTGTCTGTCTTTCACCGTCTTTGTTTATCTGTCTTTCCCTGGCTTTCTGTCTGTCTTCCTTGACCTTGTTTACTCTGAATCTGCTGAGGCATAGTGCAGTATTTACTGGCAAATGAGCCGTTGCAAATGACAGTCTTTCATTACAGTTCAGGACAGAGCTTTCACTAATGACTACAGTTTCTTTACATGCAGTATCATTATTTTGTGTGTGTGTAGGGAGGCAGTTCGTTGTTGTTTTTGTAATTTAAGTATACAAATGTCTCAAAATAAGCTTGAAACTATCAACCTACTGGGAAAAAATGGTTTTCAAGATGATCACAAAAGCCTGTAAATCCGGATTGGTGACAGTTCTAGGCATTACTGATCTTGTAATGACTAAATATAGTATAAACCAGGGGTGGCCAGCCCTGTTCCTGGAGAGCCACCTTCCTGCAGATTTCAGTTGCAACCCATATCAAACACACCTGCCTGTAATTATCATGTGGTGTTTAGGTCCTAATTAAATGGTTCAGGTGTGTTTGACATGGGTAGCAACTAGGGATGTAACGGTATCAGAATTTCACGGTACGATAATACCGCGGTATGAATGTCACGGTACGGTATTTATTGAATCATTTACAGGAAAAACAAAACTACAAAAAATACTACAAAAAATACTCCAAAAAAGTGCCAAAAGTGTCAATGACATACAAATTAGCCATCTATCTGTAAACTTTGAAACAGGAACTTCAATTTTAATAACAAAAAATTATTAAACCATGTAAAAAAATAAAGTTTCAATTTAGTATTGTTGAAAACTCATCACATTCAACATTTAATCACTCACTCACTCATTGAGATAGAGATGGGTTTTAAGGAAAATTATCATATAACTATAATCTGGTAAAAGCTGGTATCTCTGGGCATTTACAATGTCCCCTGCAACAGAAAAAAACCCCTCTCATTTGGGACTGAGGTTTCTTGGACAGAGATATGACTTGGCCCAGGTTGACAGCAGTGGGTAACGTTATGCATTGTCTTTCCCCCACTTGAGAGGACAAGCCATGAGTGAGATAGAGGTCTCATGTCTGCATCAATCTGAACAGTGTGCTGTGTTTCTGCAGTCTTCATGACTGTTATTAGTCGTATTCCCCAACTTGCAGGCACGTGCACACATAGGGCTCAACCTGTGCAGTGCACATGCCCTTTTAGTCTTGGATAGAAAGTGCCCTTCCAAAATGATCAAAAGTGCCCCCGCGACGCGACACACCCTCCGTCCCGCCCTTCAGTAGGCGCGTGACAACACCGCTCTTGAGTATGCGCGCTCAACCCCCCCCTCCCCGCTTTACAGTACGTGCGCGACAACACAGCTGATCAGAACACGCGCGACAACACCACTATCAGTATGCGCTCCTCGACAACACCCGCTTTAGGTTCGATCATTTCCAGCTCTTTTTGATCCCCGCTTCTAGCAGCACACTCCATTTCCGCATTACTGGATCTGTAGCGACAACAGACCGCAAAGGATGATGGCCACGCCTGGGCTGATGGGAATTGTAGTTTCCGCTACCTCCCGTTTGCTTCATTCGCCTGAGCAAATTTTCTCAGAAGACCTATAGTTTTATCGAGTCATGCGACTACGGTAATATCGGAAAAAAATTCTATTGCGGTAAAAAGGTATTTACAATACCGTTACATCCCTAGTAGCAACTGAAATCTGCAGGAAGGTGGCTCTCCAGTAACAGGGTTGGCCACCCCTGGTATAGACCAAAACATAGTTCCATTTGTCATTAATGTCTTTCCCACATCCTGGAGAGTTACGGTGTGGAGAAGCCCCAAAGAAGCATATCACCCAGACTGTTGCATGCCCAGAGTGAAGCATTGTCATTAATTGCCATTTGACTAGCAACATTGTTATTAATATTTTTTTGGGTGGACGGCACGGTGGCTCAATGGTTAGCATTGTCACCTTACAGCAAAAAGGTTGCTGGTTCGAGTCCCGGCTGGGCCAGTAAGCATTTCTGTGTGGAGTTTGCATGTTTCTCCTGGTGCTCCGGTTTCCCCCACAGTCCAAACACATGTGCTATAAATCAATTGGATGAACTAAATTAGCCGTAGTGTGTGTTGTTGTTGTTGTTATTATTAATATTAATATTAATATTAATGTTCGTTCTGATTTTAATTCCGATTTGGTTTGCTACAGGATGAAGTGGATGAGCTGCGAGCAGAGATGGAGGAGATCCGGGACAGTTACCTGGAAGAGGAGGTGTACCAGCTGCAAGATCTGCGCCGGGAACTGGACCGCTCCAACAAAAACTGCCGGATCCTCCAGTACCGCCTGCGCAAGGCTGAACAGAAGAGCCTGCGTGTAGCACAGACCGGACATGTGGACGGAGAGCTTCTGCGCGGCCTGGAGCAGGACCTCAAGGTGATTCTGGCATGCCTGTTGTAGATATTACCACTGCTGGGTAGTAATGGATTACATGTAATGTACTCTACCTGACAAAAGTCTTGTCGTTGATCCCAGTTGTAAGAGCAACAAATAATAACTTGACTTCTAGTTGATCAAAAAATTGGCAGAAGGTAGATTTTTCTGATGAATCATCTGTTGAGCTGCATCCCAATTATCACTAATACTGCATGAGACCTACTGAACCCGCATGGACCCAAGATTCTCACAAAAAGCAGTCAAGTTTGGTGAAGGAAAATTCATGGTTTGGGTTACATTCAGTATGGGGCTGTGCAGTGGTGTAGCGCAAAATGGGGAGGCCCCCCTGCAGGGATCACTAATAGGGCCCCCTGATGGTGGGGGGGGGAGTGATCACAAATTGAGGAGCGGGGAAGGGAGGCGGGGTGGAGCGACAACGCCGGGAAGCCTTCACAAACTGACTCGCGATCACAAACCGAAAACGGCGAGAGCGTCAAAGTAGTCAGAAGTCATACATTTTCAATGAGAACCGGCGGCAAGAAACAGCGCGGCGCATCTTCTCCGGTGTGAGCGTCGAGGAGAGTTAAAATCAAGTAAACTTTATAGTATTAGCTATATCGCGGTTCGGCGGCAAGCAATCAGAATGAAGTAGTCCACCGCTTGAGAGCTGGTCAGAAAACACAGACCTGTGAACCACAGTTGTTCCCAAGAGTTTGTTTATTGCGGTTGCCGGATTTACAATTATTGAAAATCGCAATGACGCAGGGCCCCCTAATCACGCAGTGTGTGCCCTGCGTGCCCGTCCGCTGGGGGTGTGCGAGAGATCTGCAGAGTGAATGGCAACATCTTCTCATACTTCAGCCTCCACATCAAAGTTTCTGAAAGCAAAGAAGGTCAATCTGCTCCAGGATTGGCCAGCCCAGTCACCAGACATAAACATTACTGAGCATGTCTGGGGTAAGGTGAAGGAGGAGGCATTGAAGATGAATCCAAAGAATCTTGATGAGCTCCGGGAGTCCTGCATGAACGCTTTCTTTGCTATTCCAGATGACTTTATTAATCAGTGATTTGAGTCATTGCAGAGATGTATGGATGCAGTCCTCCAAGCTCATGATGGAGTCAGACACAATATTCATTCTGTCTCCAATGCAGCATGGCTTTATAATCTATACTGGACATTATTTCTGTTTAGTGACAAGACTTTTGTCTAAGCAAAGTCAGACCTTACTGTCCTAATGAAATCATTAAAAATCAAGGCATGATCATATTTATTGTGGTAAAATAAGCGTCATCTAGAGGCCTTTGCTTTTCACATAAGCCACTTCTGATACCAAATGATCAACAAGAAGTCAAGTTATTATTTGTTGTTCCTAAAACTTGGATATGCGACAAGATTTTTGCCGTTAGCGTAGATGATGTAATCAGATTCCAAAAATCAAATACTTGTAATCAGAGTTTGAAGTTGAATCTACAGTTACTTTTTTATAGATTGTGTATTTGCATAAGGGCAAGAAGTTAATATGATGTTCTATTTTAACTCCTAATGTTGATATTGTTTCCTAATAAACGTTGTTTATACAGTTGAAGTCAACATTATTAGCTCAAATATTTCCCAAAGTATGTTTAATGGAGCAAGGAATTTTTCACAGTATTTTCAATAATATTTTTTCTTCTGGAGAAAATCTGATTTGTTTTATTTCGGCTAGAATAAAAGCAGTTGGGAACTTATTTAAGACCATTTTAAGGTCAATATTATTAGCCCCCTTAATCAATATTATTTTCCGATTGTCTACAGATCAAACCATCATTTTACAATGGCTTGCCTGATTACCCTATCTATCTAACTATTAAAACAAGGTAATAACATATGTTTTAACAATGTTTTATTAGGTGGCCAAAGATGTATCGGTGCGTCTGCACAATGAACTAGAAACGGTGGAAGACAAGCGAACGCGGGCGGAAGATGAAAACGAGCTGCTCAGGCAAAAGATCATCGAAATCGAGATCTCCAAACAGGCCCTGCATAATGAGCTGGAGAGAGCCAAAGAGGTACTGTACCACAGATCACTGTATTCGAGCAAAAACTTGTTTTTGTGGTAGTAGTGTTGCTATTCTAGATGCTGTGGTGTTATATTTATAGCCATTGCAGGAGCTTTCTGGGTTATTCACAGATGTGTTGTCAACAGTTGTGTTTATAACTGTATATTCTGTTATAACTGCTGATTGCATCTTATGATACTGATATTGGTCAATTGCATTCATGACTATCCTGTTTTTTTTTAACTCGTTTGCATGTAAAGAAGAGTTTTTTAATTTACCGGTAAAGTCGTTCCGGAAATTTTTCTGGATATTTACCGCTATCACTGTGTGAAAGGGGCTATTGTCTCATTCTTCCTGCAAACAAGTCTTAGGGCTCCATTTTAGTGATCTAGGTGCAAAGTCTGTTTCATTGTCACATTCTCTATTAGAGACAGGTCTGGACTGTAGGTAGGCCAGTCAGCGTTAATGGTGCCATCACAGAAGTTACCTTTGCAAGTTATATTAAATTATTTTACTCAAAATTATTTCACTCTTTTCATGCAGCGGCAAATTATTTTGGTGATAATCTCCAAATGTAAATAACCCAGAATATTATTTGAAGGCATCAAAGACAAACCCAATAATGACCCACAAACGTGCTGCATCACTTCTGTTGAATAAGACGGTTAAAGCGGGACGGCCCGAGGGTTGAGACGCTCCCACCGTGAGTGTGCTGCTTTGAAGTATGGATGAATGCATTAACTTTGAAGCCTGCTGCCGTGTGCATTAATGCATGACAGGCCGTTCGCTGCTTCAGTAATCGGATGCTGAGGAGTTACTCTGGAGTCGCTCAGGTTAATCGAGAGTAATCTGGAAAGATTGAGTCACGGCTGTGTGGAGGAGAAGAACACTGAGTGTGGGGTGTCTTCAAATATGGGGTTGCTTGGGGGTTCTATCTATCCATCTATCTATCCATGCGTCATGCAATCTATTAATCCATCCATCCATCAATCATTCTATTATTTTTAGTATTGTTCTATCTATCTATCTATCTATCTATCTATCTATCTATCTATCTATCTATCTATCTATCTATCTATCTATCTATCTATCTATCTATCTATCTATCTATCTATCTATCTATCTATCTATCTATCTATCTATCCATCATTCTATAATATCTATTTATCTATTATTCTATCATTCTATTATAATATCGTTCTATCTATTCATCTGTCAATCTGTCATTCTATCCATCAATCCATCCATCCATCCATCCATCCATCCATCATCCATTCATCAAATTATTTATCATTCTATTATTCTATATATTGTTCTATTGTTCTATTTATTGTTCTTTCATTCTTTCTATCATTCTGTTGTGTTATCTATCTATCTCTCCTATCATTCTATCTATCTATCTATCATTCTACAGTATTATCTTTCAATCTATCGTTCTGTCTATAATTCTATGTATCTATCGTTCTATGTATCCATCCATCCATCCATCCATCCATCCATCAATCTATCTGTCATTCTATCCATCTGCCATCGTTCTATCCTTCCATCATTCTATTCATCCACCGATCCATACATCATTCTAAAGTATCTATCCATCTATTGTTCTATCATTCAATTATACTATCATTCTATCTATCCATCTATCCGTCATTCTATTAATCCATCCATTCATCCAACTATACATACATCCATCCATCGTTCTATTTATCGTTCTATTATTCTATGTATGTTCTATGCTTCATTCTATTTATCCTTTTACTGTTCTATTTATTGTTCTTTCATTCTTCTTATCATTCTGTTGTATGTTTTTATCTATCTATCCTTTTATCATTCTATCTATTCTATCATTCTACAGTATTATCTTTAAATCTATCGTTCTATCTGTCTGTCTGTCTATTATTCTATCTATCGATTGTTCTATCCATCCATCCATCAATCTATCAATCTATCCTTCATTCTATCCATCCACCCATCCTGTCTATCCAGTTCTATTCTTCCATCATTCTACCCATCCACCGATCCATCCATCATTCTAAAGTATCTGTTTATCTTTCTATCTATTGTTCTATCATTCTATTATACTATCGTTCTATCTATCCATCTATCCGTCATTCTATCAATCCATCCATCCATCCATCCATCCAACCATACACACATACATCCAACCATACATGCATACATACATACATACATACATCTCTTGCTCTATTTATCATTCTATTATTATATGTATTGTTCTATATATCATTCTATTATTATATGTATTGTTCTATATATCATTCTATTATTATATGTATTGTTATATATATATATATATATATATATATATATATATATATATATATATCATTCTATTTATCAGTTTACTGTTCTAGTTATTGTTCTTTCATTCTTACTATCGTTCTGTTGTGTTATTATTTTATCTATCTATCCTTCTATCATTCTATCTATCGTTCTATCATTCTACAGTATTATCTTTCATTCTGTCTGTCTGTATGTCTATGATTCCATCTATCCGTTATTCTATCCATCCATCCATCCATCCATCCATCCATCATTCTATCCATCTATAAATCATTCTGTCCATTGCTCTATTGTTCTATCTATCGCTCTATCATTCTGTCATTCTATCTATTATTCTATCTGTCATTCCACTGTCCTATTTATTGTTCTTTTATTCTTCCTATCATTCTGTTGTTCTGTCATTATCCATCTATTTTTCTATCGTTCTATTTATCGGTTGCTGATTGTTACTAGTCTTTCTACAAAGTAGTCAAGTGAATTAGTGTAACTTTAGTGTGTTTGGGGTTGGTGTGTTTATAGTTGAAGGCAAAATTCTAGCAATTGTTTTTCAACACATTTTTAAACATAATATTATTAATAACTCATTTATTTAGCCTTTACCATGATGGCAGTACATAATATGTTACTAGTTATTTTGCTAGACACTAGTATTCAGCTTAAAGTGACATTTAAAGGCTTAACTAGGTTAATTAGGCAAGTCATTGAACAACAAAGGTTTGTTCTGTATTCAACTGAAGACCTTAGCAGCTAATAATAAGAAGTTCTTGCGAGGAAAAATCAGATAGGAAATACTGTGAGAAATGTCGTTGCTTTAAAAAGAAATATTCGGAAAAAGAATTAAAATGTCACATGATTGCAAATAACTGTTTATAGAATTCGTCTGCAGTTTTGTGTGTCTGCATTGTCTTCAAGCCTTGGCTCAGATCTTAGAGCAGAAAATATGGGCTTTACAAATATGTACGTGCATATGCTGCTGTTGTTATTGCAGTTCAAACAGCACAGGATCACAACAATCCCCTCTGATTCTCAGAGATGTGCTGCATTGCAAAACGTCCCGCGAGGGTCACGGCAAATCTTCTTAAAGGAAGAGTTCATCTGAAAAATGACAATTCTGGCATCCTTTATTCAGCCTCATGTCTGAACATGTTGTTCTGTCATTTTGTCTATCAGTATGTAATTGTTCTATTTTTCAGTTTTCAGTTTTCAGGTATATCTGTTCTTCTCTCATTCTACCATTCAAATATTCTGTCTGTCTGTCTATCTATCCATTGTTCTATCTATCCATCTATCTTTCTATCCATTTAACGTTCAATCTATATCTATTCATAACGTTCTATCAGTCTTTCTATCTATCTATCTATCTATCTATCTATCTATCTATCTATCTATCTATCTATCTATCTATCTATCTATCTATCTATCTATCTATCTATCTATCTATCTATCTATCTATCTATCTATCTATCTATCTATCTATCTATCTATCTATCTATCTATCTATCTATCTATCTATCCATCTATTGTTCTAACCATTTATATATATCATTTTATCTATGCACCATTCTATCTATCCATTGTTCTATCCATCTAATGTTCTATCCATCTAGCGTTCTATCCATCTATCAATCTATCTATCTGTCTTTCTATACATCTATCGTTCTATCTATCCATCGTTTTATATATATATCCTTCTATCCATCTATTGTTCTATCCATCTAATGTTCTGTCCATCTATCGTTCTATCCATTGTTCTATCTATCCATCATTGTATCTATCCATCGTTCTATCATCTAACGTTCTATCCATCTAACGATTTATCGTTCTATCTATGCACCATTATATTTATCCATCGTTCTATCTATCTATCTATCTATCTATCTATCTATCTATCTATCTATCTATCTATCTATCTATCTATCTATCTATCTATCTATCTATCTATCTATCTATCTATCTATCTATCTATCTATCTATCTATCTATCTATCTATCTATCTATCTATCTATCTATCTATCTATCTACCTATCTACCTATCCATCGTTCTATCTAATATCATACTATCCATCTATCATTCTATCCATCTATCGTTCTATCTATGCATCGTTCAATCTATCCGTCATTTTATCTATCATCATTCTATCCGTCTATCGTTCTATCTATGCATCATTCTATCCATCCGTTCTATAATCTATCCAAAGTTCTATCTATCCAACATTTTATCTAACCATCATTCTGTCCATTGTTCTATCTATCCATCATTCTATCCATCTATCGTTCTATCCATTGTTCTATATATGCATCATTCTTTCTAACTATCCATCGTTCTTTCCATGTAATGCTCTATCTGTCGTTCTATCTATGCATCGTTCTATCTAACCGTCTTCATATCTATCCAACGTTCTATCTTTCCAACGTTCTAACCATCTCTATCTATCATCATTCTATCCATCTATCGTTCTATTCATCCATCGTTCAATCTGTCTGTCTGTCTGTTATTGTTCTTTCTATCATTCAGTTGCTCTGTTGCTCTATCTGTCCGTCCAACCATCTTTCCTGCTATCGTTCTGTCTTTTGTTCTATTTACCATTATATCCTTCTATCATTAAATCCTTCTTTCATTCTGTCAATACTTCTATTGTTCTATCATTCTTTTGTCTATCTGCAAATCTATTCATATATCTTCATCTTTATGTGTGTGTGTGGGA